GTTGGGACTGGAAATCCCATTTATTCCAGCTATTCCACTTCTAGGCATATTCCCAGAAGAACTGAAAGCATCATACCACAGTGATATATGTGCACCTATGTTTATAGCAGCACAATTTGTAATCGCCAGATCTTGGAAACAACCCAAGTGCCCATCAACTGAGGAATGGATAAAAAAGTTGTGGTATTTCTATACAATGGAGTATTATTCAGCTATAAAGAAGGATCACATTGAGATATTTATCAATAAATGGGCGCAGCTTGAGACCACACTCATTAGTGAAATAAATCAATCTCGCATGTGTGAATACCAAATAGTTTCCCTAATGTAAGTAATGATTCAAATATATAAAAATATGTGGTAATCATGATTCCCCATTAGGTGGCCTTAAAGCCTTATAAAGTTTTCACTCATTAATTAGAAAGGCTTTATTCTGGGCTTCTTGATATGAAAATATTTGAAGCTAGAGTATATGAAGTTTTATCCAAATATTTCAAGGAAAAAGACACTATGGTAACTACTATTAAGTCAGGTTATAAGGTGGTGAAGTACTAGGTTGTTGAAACAGTCATGCTGTGACCTCTATTGTTATATTGTTATGTCCTGTTTTATCTCAATCTCCCCCTTATTGTTTCAAAAAAAAATTATTTAGTCATTTCTTATGTTTGTCTTAATTAAAGAAAAAATTCAAAAAAATTAGGATATATAAATAGTAACTCTTTTCCATTTCTTATTAACTTGTTTTGAAGTCCTGTAGTACTCCCACGATCTTGTTTTGACTGATTAGACTCTGTTCCATTCTATATGATAGTATCAAGTTTGAAGACATAGGCAACTACTTTGAAGACAATAAGATTCACTAAGATACCCATTCTGGTTTGACTATTGTCTTCTTTGGAAGTCCTGTAATGTTTACAATGCCTAAGTTTTATTGGTCTTGTTCTCTACTGTTTTGTCCAACTTTATAATATCTAATAAGATAGACAATTCTTTTTAAGGAAACAAGGGACAACGTTGATAACCATTGTTGATAAACTTGTACTCTGTTCTACACCATGTGCTATGTCTATCCTTGGTATTGACTGACAGCTTTGTTTTGCCATATTTGACTGTATTCTTCCCCCCCCCCCAAAGAAAGTAATAAGCACTAAGGAGTAATAAAATCCAAGATGTGTAAATTTTGTTGTAAAAAAGAGAGGGGAAAAAAAAAGGAAAAGAGCTCTAACGGATATAACAGCAAGTGTGCTTGGGGGTGTTAAATAGCTGACTTTATCAATGTTTTTGGAACATTGAACACAGCTGTTTGCAGTCTCCCTGTTTGAATGTCCACCTTGTGTTCTTTGATACTGTGATTTGAGGAACTATTTTCAAGAAGATAGTGTGGAATCTACTAGCAGGTAATTTCTAACTGTTATTTTTTTTGTTTTGTTTTGTTTTGTTTTGTTTTGTTTTGTTTTGTTTTGTAATTCTGTATTGTGTGTACCCTTACGCCGCTTTGGTTTGTTTTGTGTTTTTCTCTTTTTCCTCTTAAATAAAAAAAAAAAAGAAAAATAGAGAACAAGTAATATTTTATTTTTATTTAAATTTATTTCTCATCATAATTTTTGAAGAGAGATTTTTTTTATTTTCTGTTAGAAAACAAAGGCAACAAACTTTTGTTAAATTTGTATTCCATTTTTTCTGAGAGTAATTCACCAATAGCTTAAAAATATGAATTAAAGATGGAAGAAGCTAAAATCAGGTTCAGAGAGGCATTCCTGAATACAGCAGATATAGAGACACAATATCACATCAAAGATGTGAGGCTCATGTGTTACCCCTTAGCTAATGACTCTGCCTTGCTCAGATTTTCTTGCCATCCCATAGGATGTGAGAATTCTCAATTTGCCACTCTAGATGCAGTTCTAACTCCACATTTAAACTTATTGCAGAATTTATTTCCAGGATATTGGGTACACATTGACCCACCAAATGCACCCAAAATACTGGATTTGAGAACGAAGGAAAGGTTCTAGTTTTACACAGTCGGCTGAGAGGAGAGGTCCTCAGAAACTGGGGGCAAGGGGGCAAGTGAGGGTACAGAGACAAGACAAAGCAATTAATGACTTATCCTTGAAAGAAGACACAGCGTTGTGAATCCTGTGAGAACAAGATGACATAAACTCTTTATAAGACATAGTTACCAGGGCTGGAGGTTTAGCTCAGTGGCATAAGCACCTGCCTTGCAAGCAGGCAGTTGTGAGTTCGATCCCCAGTACCCCTAAAAAGGAAAAAGACAAAAAAAAAAAAAAAAAAAAAAACCAACCACATAGTTACCAATCTAATCTGTACCAGAACAAGAAGTTAAAGCTACAGGAGCCTGGAGGAGTTTGAGGGAGACAGTTCTTTAAGTCCTCCTGCTTCATTCTAGCTTCTTAGTTGGAGTTAAAATTTTTAACTATCACATTAATAGATGAATTTCTGGAGCAATATCAAGAACTGTATAGTTGGTTTGCAAAACTACTAAGGAATTCCTGCAGGACATGACACAGACAAGTCTGGACATAAGAGAAAGCATAGAAATATGTTATTTGTTGCACAGCATGGAGGAGATACATCTCAACTGGACCTTTGAAAACTCTCCTTGGCTCACAATGACAGAGGCTAGAAAGAACAATAAGGCCACCTGTAGGGTCAAATATCTGTTATAATTATGCTGGAGCCCTGGATTCTGAACCCACACAGCAGTAGTCCCCTCTCCCTTCCCCTCCACGAGGACTCATGGCCCGATGCTATCATACTCCAGCTCCACCAGTTACAGCTCTGTGGCTCAGAGCCTAAAACCCTCTCTATAAAATGCAGTTGCTTATTAAAGTATGACATGTAGATTTTTAAGGCTTGGAGATTTTCACTCAGTGTAGTACACTCCTCCCAATTACCCAATAAGGCACTGTTCTCCAGTTAAGGGTCACCAGGATCACACCCTTGGATGACAAGTTGATTTTGTTCTTCCTTGAGATGAGGGAAAAGCTCACCAATGGGAACTGTGAGACATCGGAGTAAAAAGGTGTTTGGAATCATAGAAGCAGAACCCGTCAGGGATGGATATAAGAGAATTACTGCCAGGCCCTCGTTCGTATAACTGTAGTGGTAAACTAGAAAAGTCGAAGGTCCGCATGTCAGGTGTCACCAGGAGGTCAGGATCTCAGCACAGGTAAACACTGCTGTGCACAAGAAATTTCTCTGTTCTCAGAGATGCCTCAGCTCTCCCTAGGGATTTTCAACTGATTCACCTCACCAGTTTAGCTAGAATAATTTCTCTTACTTAATAGCAATTTATTATGAAAATAATCACAGCTAGCTACTAAATATCCTTACTGCAACATTTACATTGGTGTTTGACTGAATAACAGGAGTCTATATCCTAAATACATAAAAATGTCACTAAACTAGCATAGGGTTTAGGTTTGTTTTAGGCAATTTTGAGGAAGATTTAAGGAAAAGGGATTTTGCACTTACTTGGATTCTGTCGGGAGTTGGGTGGAGATGGTAGGGTGATTCTACAACAGGGTATTTTAATAAATCTTATCTCTAGTGAGGGTAAAGCTGTAATTGGTTTTTTAAAAGTAGTCACATATACACAAGCAAAATACTAGGTTATTTTGCGGTTTGGGCAATATTCATATTTTGTCTGTACTCAGAAATCTCAGAAATAATAGTTGAATGGTCTTGTTGTCTATCTTAATCCATGGTCATCACAGGTAGGCTAATATTGATGTTCTATAAAATGATTTATGTCTCTCAAGAGAACACTAAAACCAGTAGTGAATATAGCATAAATCACAACATCAGCACCTATGTTACTGCATCCAGACAGCTCCCAGATGTCAGGAGGGAGAACGGCCTCACTCTGTTTGCATTTTCTGTCACAGTGAGGTAACATCAAGAGCTGAGAAACTTAGCGGGTCATCTAACAGGGACACAGTGATTGATTCTAAATCACCATCATAGAAAATAAATTCTTCTGGGGAAAAAAAACCTCATCTAATGATCATGTTTGGCTTATTCACTAGTCCCTCACAAATATCTGAAATAGTAATGTGTCAGGATAATAAATATGAAAAATTAAGTAGGTTAAGGAAAGGAAATCAGTTTTCTAAGTCAGAGAAATTCCTCCTTGTTCCATCTTTATTTGACTTGATATTTTTATATTAAAAAAATTCTTCATGTAACAGATCTAGACAGAGCTCTCTCTTGTGTAATCATCATCTGTAATTTCCTTTAAACATAGTCAGGAAGCACCAAAACGCAGAGCACAAGTATTACTAAAGTGAAGGGAAAATGTGGATAGAGATCATACAGTTATTGTAGGCAACTCCTCGTGTCGTTATGATCCCTTTCATTGCTCTGACCTAAAACTCTTGGAGTGACAGAGAACATGAGAAGAACTTGCTCAACTGAATTTACACAAGTGAAGAAGTCACGGACATTGCCAGATTACAACTTGCAGAGGTCCCCTAGGAGGGTGGGTCAACTCAGTATTTGAAGATATATATATATATATATATATGAATGAGAATTCCATGAACACACTATGGAAACAAAAAGGAAGACAGCTAACTCACACACAGGAGTCAGAGAAAGCTAGTCAGTGATGGGGTGGGTAAACTGCCAGAAGTGAAATTGGTTTGAGAAGGAATTTCTGGAGGTTATAACCCATAAAACCCTGAAGCACAAAGTATTATTGGTGACCTCATCTATCCATAAGGCTGCTGTGCAATTCCCACCCTTCTTCCCACTAACAGACATTTACACTCCAGAGAACAGTCTGATTGGAATCCTCCCAGCATTCACAAAGCTCTGTTCAGTCCACTCTGTGCAAAGGCTGCATCACAGCCAGGGGGGAATCCCCTCTGTCCTTCCAAGCCTCCTAATACAAACTCTGTACCTGGCAACTGAGGCGTCATCATCAGCAATTTTTCTGATTGGCCAAAATCTCGTGCTAGGGCGTTTGGTTCCGTGTCTTTAGATTTCCTTGGCTCAGTTCTCACAGTAGCTCTGCAACTCGGAACAGCAACTGCTGAGACCACTGGAGAAGAAGATGATTCTAAAGAAAGCTCTAGCCGTCGGGATCTTGGCTCTGACCACCAGCATGAGCCTTTGTGGAGGTCAGGACATCAAGGGTGAGTGTGCTGCTGAGGGACGTTTATTCTAGGAGCCAGAAAATAGGAAACTGAGAGTGGGGAGAAAAAGAGATGAAGACAGGCAGGATAGGGGCTCTCAATATTAAGAAATCAAAATTGTATTTTGTTCTTCCCTTCAAGAAGTCAGAGCACAATCCACTCTCAGGTAACTGCGTCCCTGCACGGTGCCCCACGCTCGTGATTCTATTTCTAGGACTGGACACAGCGAATGCAGCCCGGAGGGCTCTGTGACGTCGGGTCACTGTGCCTCAGTGCTTGGGGACGATTGCCAGAATGTTAGGAGCTGTAACTCTCACGTTTCTCTGACCAGCTTTGGAAGCTTTCTATGTATCTCCTACTTGGTGAAAACAGTTTCATGCAATGTGTAGATTCACAGAAAGCTGACCTTCGATTGTCTCACATTTACACACCTTTCCATGCTGGGCATGAGCACAGTTAGAAAGCAGGTTGAAAGTCTTTAGAACTTATTTTATGTGTTCTTCATTATTCTTGGTTACCTCACATTTCGTTTCACAAGTACTTAAATAAAGTAGGTGCATAGATAGGACTTCAAAACAATGAAAATCTATAAATGCCAAATTTCCCCATTGGTTGCAATTACAGTTTCATGTTTTTTCTTTAATAAAGTAAGGAATGTCTTCATTTTTATCTTACAATTGAGAACTCTGGACAAAAAATTTTGTGAACTATGTTGCCTATTCTCCACTTCACTTAGTGAAGTTCTATGAAAAGAAAATGAGCAGGAACAGGTTATTTTTTCCTTTGGCCTCTCTGCCTCTGTTGCCCACCTCTTTCTAAACTGTCCTCACACATTCCTTTATCCTTATTTCCCTTCAGAAGCCATCTCCGACTCTCTGCCATTGACAGATATGAATCATAAGGTTATTTTTAAAAAGTTGAGAACTCAATAGAAAGGGGAAGTGTAATGGTAGGTGCTCTAAGTCTTCAGCAAGCTTATTAACCACATTTACTCACATTCTAATTTCGTTTGGCAGTGGAAGTTTCACCTGCTTCCACAGAATATTTCTCTGTTCTAAAGTTCATTTCTTCCACATCACAGCAGGATTCCCTGGTCTGTGTCAGCTTATCCGTCAGGCACAGACGGTGCCGTGCCAAGCACTCAAATATTTCTGGGTCTCGCAAATTTCTTCTGAAATTAGATGAGAAAATGAAGTTTTAAGTCTAAGAAAATGTTCTAACTTTTACTTCAGCCTGAATTACAATTGTCTTTACTCCCGAGACTGCCATAAAATATAATTTCAGTATTTCTGTGGAGGAAGGAGCCCGTGAAGGCAACAGTGTTTGCAGCTCACAAGTCAGTGCGGCCCTCGTCACCACTGACCCTGAATCTCATGTGATTCTGCTGTCTGTGTCACTTCAGGTCCTCCCTAGAATCTCTGTGATCTTTGAGAGCACAACTGTCATTTAACATGTACTTTTAACACAAATGAATAATACTAGGGAGACTTCATGATGCTTTTTGCCTTCTAGAGGGTGAAAAATTGGACAGTGAAACAGTTTCGGGTGTGGGACAGAACCTCTGCTGAGTAGGGCAGTGGCCACGGCCGAGACTGAAACTATCAAAGTGACTTAGTTCTACTTGCATAGCAGTGTGAGGTCTTCCAGCGGCACTTGGAAGCTATAACCAATATCAGCTGAAAAGAATTATACATCTATTGTTTTGAAACAGGAGTCAAGAAGATTTATTGCAAGCCCAAGGAGGCTTTGTGGAAGGGGCCATGATGTAATCCATCACGGGGATCATCCTGGGTAGGGAAGGGAGTGTCCTGTTCTCCAACCAGGACACTGAGACAGAGGAGATGGAGGCCCTAAGGCAAAAACACTTTTGGTAAAAAGTCTTTGCTAAAATGTTGGTAACTAAGCAGAAATACCCAGGATGAATTTGTGGTTTCTAGGAAATCCTAAAAGATAATTTCAGGGAAAAGAACAGACCCATGCAAAGACAGAGAGAGAAACATGAAAGCATGGTGTAGTTTGCTTTGGTGCAGACATCTGTGCAGGGTGTTGGACCATAAACTGTTGATATCATCAGCTGTGCTTCCTCCTGTGCTCACCTGCCTCTGCGAGTTTCACTGAGCTCCCTGGTGGCAGAAGCTGGGCCTGGTTGGCATTTTACTGGCTGGCCGTAATGTCTGACTTGTGTTGAGGGTCAGTAAATAAAGGAGCAGGAAAAAATGAAATGCACAGAGAAAGAGAAAGTGATAAAAGTATCTAGTTTCATCTGGATGCACTTGGACTACTCTGGCTGCCATCCTACTCTGGCGTCCTCTGATGAGTACACTGTGCCTCCAGGAAAAGGGCCTTAGTTTGCCCAAGTCCTCCAGTAAATACAAGTGTTGTATCATAGAAAAGAGAGATCTCACTCAGGAATAAAAGATGAGGGAGATGACAAGAATCTAAAAACTAATAAAGTTCCATTTTTATTTCCGAAGAAATTGGGCACTGTCTTCTAAGGATACATACATTATATTTTATCATGTTTGTTATATTCTCTCTTATGTGCCCCATAACTATTAGAAAAGACACTTTTAAAATAATATGATTCTGTGTGCTTTTCATTGGTTTAAAAAGGAGGAGGAAGGGACAGGGAGGAAAAAGAGAATAACAGTGTAGAAAAAAAAAATCCTGTTTTGAGCTAATCCTGAAAGGAAAGGATGAGAGAATTGTGGGATGGGAAATGAAAGAATTAAATAAGAAACAAAACTTATGAACAGAAGGAATCAAACCAAATTCAGCAAAGAAAGTGTAATACAGCAATAATTTATTTATTTCTTCTTTTATTCAATTATAGCATTTACACTGTGTAAGCACCCAATAAATAACAGAAATTAAATATGTAGCATTCTGACGTCGCAGAGTATAAATTGTACCTGGAAAGCACACGGGACTCTAAGCAGATAACTACTCACACTAAGGGAAAAAGAAGCAAACACTAAAAATTCTGTACAATTGTGGCAAAGATGATGTTTGAAGTCAGGTTTTTTTCTATCACTTTAACTACATTTTTTCTTTCCTGTTTTCCACCTTTCTGCCACTCACCTATATTCATCAGCTGACCACGTTGCCTCCTACGGCATAAATGTCTACCAGTCCTGTGGTTCCTCTGGCTACTACACCCATGAATTCGATGGAGATGAGCAATTCTATGTGGACCTGGAGAAGAGAGAGACTGTCTTTTGGTTGCCTGCGCTTAAGAAAGTTGCAGGTTTTGACCCACAAGGTGCACTGAATAACATCGCCATAGCAAAGAACAACTTGAACATCCTCACTAAAGAGACCAACTCTACAGCTGCTACCAATGGTACATTTTCACCACTCTCCTCACCTTACTGAACCTTTCCCTTCATGCCGGTTTTCACATTCTTCTTCCCAGGGAGCCCCCAAACCTTCCCAGGGTAATAGCTTATGCTCTCCCACCCCACAAATGACATATTTCCATGTAATAAAGGGCCTTGCACTGTATGTTCATTAAATCCTTCTCTGAGAAGGCCCACTGATCTCCACTGTTACTAAGCATGTCCACAGAAAGCAGAGCATAGGGAAAAGTCAGAGGCAATATGGAGGGGCCCAAGCAGAAGCCAAATAAGATCTCAGACTGTTGTGAGGGTTGATGTGGGTGGGAGGGCTCCTTCAGAAAGAAATAGTGAGCCTCAGGGCAGAGCTTACTAGAATTCACATCAGTACCATTTCTTCTCTACAGAGGTTCCTGAGGTGACGGTGTTTCCCAAGTCTCCGGTGGTGCTGGGTGAGCCCAACATCCTCATCTGTGCTGTGGACAACATCTTCCCTCCTGTGATCAACATCACATGGTTGATCAATGGACGTTTGGTAACAGAAGGCATTTCTGAGACCAGCTTCCTGTCCAAGAGTGATCACTCCTTTCTCAAGATCACGTACCTCACCTTCCTTCCTTCTGCGGATGACGTTTACGACTGCAGAGTGGAGCACTGGGGCCTGGACAAGCCTCTTCTCAAACACTGGGGTGCGTATGACTTCTGCTACTGTTGGTGTCTTCTCACTTCCTCTCCATTAGTCCCTGACACACAAATCTTCTCTTCCACACTTCAAGCATTTCTAATGGAAAGCTTCACTCTTCTCCCTTAACCCAGGCCTTGGATCTGCAGAATCAACTGCCTGTGCCCCACCCCACACTGTGCACATGAATGCAGCCCATCTTCTGACCTCTGCTTTACTTTCACAGAACCTGATGTTCCAGCCCCAATGTCAGAAGTGACGGAGACCGTGGTCTGTGCCCTGGGCCTGTCCGTGGGCCTCGTGGGCATCATAGTAGGCACCATCTTCATCATCCAGGGCCTGCGCTCAGGTGGTGCCTCCCGACACCCTGGGCCCTTGTGAAACACACCTGGAAGGGAAGGTAAGAATTCAGATTTTCCAGAGCTGCAGCCATGGTTCAGGACAAAAAATTGGGAAAGATTATAAGAGAGTTGGAAAATGGCATGTGGATGGCATGGGAGGACTAAAGAATCTCACCTCTGTTCTCTTACAGACACATCGTCCAGCTACAAGAGCAGAAGCCTGGTAGTACTAGAGCACCCAGCACTATATCCTGGTCCAGTTCATCGTGCTCTTTCTCTCATCTAAATATTCCTCTTCATATCTTGTTTCTTGGATTAAAATATTGTATCCCTAGTGTTCTCATGCCTTTGAATGCTCTCCCTAATATTTTTTTGTTTTTCTCATTTCTCAAATATTACCAATTGTGGGATCTGTAGGATAGTACACCCGAGTATCTAATCCCTCAGTGACCTCTTATAGTGCTCTGTGGAGGTAATAAATCTCCTTTTATAAATTGCCTAGTGAAGTTTTCTATCATTCATCTCAGGCTCACTAGGACCATGGCAACAATGAAAGCCTCTTGTATTTCAGGCCCATTTTTTAAATTTACTTTTATTAATAGATATTTGACATACAAAATGATCACATTCATCATCATAGGGAATTTGTACCTGTGTATAATGTTTTGATTCTTTCTCTCCCATTCCCTTCCCCTCCTTTCAACTCTTCAGGCCCATTTAACTTCTTCAGATTGGGTCCCATGCCTTATAATACAGGAGCAACCGAATGTAGCCTAATAATACGTTGATATTTTAGGCAAGGTTGATACTTCTTTCTTTCAGTTTTTCCCACCCTTGGTCACTGCTACCCAGTCATCTACTCACCCCCTAATTAAGGTATCAATGTAGGCTTGTTACAGCAGGTATATAAGAACAAAACCAAAAAAGCTAATTCTACTTATTTAATATTGCCTTTGAAAGTTATGTCAGAGAAAGCAATCCTGAAACTCCAAAGTAGAAAATGTCAAAATTTTGATGTCAAAATCATCAACAAAAATTAAAATTTTAAAAAAATAAATGAGTAGAAGTTTTCCACTTTCCTCCTCATTCAAGAAGTAGGAGTTCTGGGTGCATAAAAAGAAGTGAAGGTCAGGAGAGCATTAGAATAAAACATAATGCAGGTATCTGCACAGAGCCAAATAGTTTTCCCTATTCTGCATTAGTAACAACAGAACAAAGAATAATAAACCACAGACATAGTCAGGGGTCTAAAACAAATATGTAGTTTGTCTCCCTGCAGGAAGCCCCATAACTAAACGCAGATTTCCTTGTGCCACCATTGGAGACAGTGCAGTGAATACGGCTACAGGATGTCTCCGGGCAGATGAGCCTAAATCACTGAGTTCCCTGAGCATTCCTGTGTTTCTTGGGAGCAACAAAACACCCCAGTGCCCCTTCCTAGCCAAAGAAAGCATGAGCCTGTGAAAGAGAAACCCTGCGATGGACAACACGATGGAGATAATGTAGCAGCAACTGTGGATGCCATGTTTTCACTGAACTCTTCTGTCTCCTAATGGAAACCCTCCCAGAGCAAGGCTATGGGATTTCATGACTCTGCTGCGTGTGACCACACCTGACTCTTAAAAGAATGTATCATTTGACACAGAGTCATTTTCCCTCTGAAATTGTTTTAGGTGCTACTAAGTCTGTGCATTGCACCTAAGATGCTATTATAGAATAATTTGAAATCTATAGTTATTTCTGTTCATGCCACCTATCTCTATGGGCTTGAAGAGTAATTGAAGGAAAAAAGATAAAACATTAACATGGTATTTGATGTGGTATAATTTGGTGCAAAAAAAGAGAAAAGAGAACTAATTCCAAATTCAAGACTTAACATATTTAATTTTATAACACTGTGTATATTATCTAACATACTGAACTTTATTTTTTGCCTACAGATTAGAAGTCATAATAACTGCAGAGTTATTATCAAAATTGGAATAACCTCAATATGTAGACAGTGTCTTTGCCATTAAAACAATCTATTATATCATATGAAATCATTTGTTTCTCAGATATGGGGCTATGGGTAAATTTATTTTCATGTAATAATTGTAGACATGTTCCCCCTTTCCAGAGTTAAAGAGGATTAAATTGGATTAAGCTCAAAAATAGAGATGAGTGATCCTTAAGATATTACTGGTGAAGAGATTGCTAAGAGAATTCTTATGTCAAGAAGATGTACTATTTGACCTTTTCAAACTCTCTAATAAAAAATGTGCTTTTCTAATGGCCCACTTGTTTTTAATGAAAGTATGTTAAATGCAACACTTCTTTATGCATGTTTACTAGAGAAAAAATTCAAGGAGGAAAGGCTAACTATAAACAATAATAGTATAACTTAAATTCAGACTAGAAACTATTTAATAAGGAGTATTTGAACAAGGAATATTTTGAAAATGTGGGTCACAGAGAAATAAAATTCTCAAACAGTGAAGTAGATACTCTACTACTTGATACTATAATGATGGATCTATGTCCTTATGGCTTTGTTCAAACCCACAGAATGTACACCAAGAGTAAATCCTAATGTAAACTATGAATTTTGGGTGATAATGATATGTGAATGTAAGTTCATCAGTTGTAACAAATGTACCACTGTGATAGAGGATGTTGAAATGGGGGAGGCTATATACGTATGAATGAGACAAAAACATGGTTTTTGTAGGCAGGTATTCATGCATGTGTGATATAAGGGTTATTCTGAATGGCATATGACCAATCATATAAAAATATACAAACATTACCTTCTCAGATTCCTTAACTATGAAATGCAGTGGAGAGAAAATGTAATTGTAGGTTCATTATTATATCATGTTATTATATTATGTTATATTATATTATAGTAATACATTCATAAAACCTCGTGCAATTTTAAAATAACTCAAAATTAGTTCTAAAAAATAAAAACAAGTATTTCTATCTGACAAAAGTTAAAAATGAGATCACCACATGACATTACCATAAACAATTAGTAAATTAGTCCTCATGATTTTAAATTATGTAATTCTTTAAAATTTATTTGAATTTTTCATATTATGTTCATAAACTTATACCACTGATATTTAATATCCCTGCTAGTTAAAAGTATGCACTGGAAAATCACTTTTAAATTTTAGTTTTATACTTACTACATAAAAGCTAGGAATTTGAAGAATTAATTTTCTTTTTTACAAGTAAAGCATTTCACAATGTGGCATACAGTAAGCAGTCATTAAATGTTGTTGGAAGTTAATACTGTTATTTTCTGGAGTTATTTCCCAGCCACAAATCTCACAGTAAACTACACCTGAGAGATACAAGAACCAAAATCTAGAACCTGGGCAGTTCTATAAGGTAAAACAACAATTTCCTCAACAAACACCTAACAGGGAAAAAACTACTTTTTAAAAAGACATAAGATACATATCAACCAAGTGCTAGGCCTCATGTATACTAAGCAAGTGCACTATCACTGAACCATAACCCAGCCAACACATTCTTTAAAGTTATTTTGTTTCAATAAAAGGACAAGCTGCCCCAGCATGGGTCCTCTACACCCCAGGGTGTAGAAAGGCATGAGGCCTTCAATTCCATACCCAGTCCTGTAAAAATTAGCAAAATAATAATTTTATAAGATGTTATGGCTTAGAATTATAATGCCCCCCAATAATCTCGTATGTTCAGAGTTAAGGCTTTGGGAAGGTAGTTGGGTCATAGGATCCTTTACTGTACTCAGCAGCAGAATTCCATGAGGAAGTTGCATCAGTCAGCATCTTACTGGAAAAAAAGATAGAACACAAGACATACAAATGTTTAAGAAATCACAAGATGGCTTAGGATGGTCAGCTGCAGAGTCAGATGAGTAAGCGTGCAGAGAGCGAGTGCTTGCACACTGGAGACAGAAGTTGTCAGTCCAATCTGGAGTTCACTGCAGTGTCCCATACAGGAAGCCTGTATCAGGAAGCCGATGGATCTTCAGTGCAAGACTGAAGAGTCTTCTCCAGAAGGCTGAAGGATCCAAGGCAGAAGCCAAGGAGTCTGCACTAGAAGCCAGAAGATGACAGCCAAGCTGAAGATGAAGACTGGAGCTCCTCTGAAGAACTTCGTCTTTCTCATTTCCCCATTGTACTGCCCAGGTGACAAGCAGCGCTAGGTGGGTCCTCTATATCCTAGGGTGTAAAATTGCTGAGACAACTCAAGTTTCTAAATTTCTCAAATTGACACAATTACAAAAGTGAAGCCAGGTTGGAGGAGGTGTGATCCGGCAGGCAGTATTTTTGTCACAGCTCTTCTTTTCCCTCTCCCTACTTCCTTGATGCTCTGAGTTGAGAAGCTTTCTCCTGCCATACTTTTCTACCTTGTGATATCTGCTTTACAGTCTGTCTGCCATGTACTGAACCATTTAAATCATTAAAATAGTATTAGGTATTTATCTCAGTGATCAGAAAGGTGACTGTAGTGGTTGACTGACTGTGTCAATTTGAGATATTTAGAAGCTTAATTAAATGGGTTTAGCAACTCCACCCAAGGGTGTAGAAGAAGACACACCCTAGGGTGGCTCATCACCTGGAGATATAAAAGGGAAGGAGGAAGGATCTTCCATTCTTGGGAGAAGCTCCAGTCTTCACGTTTGGTTTAGACATTGTCTCTTGGATTCCAGTGTAGACTCTTCAGCTTTCTGGCACAGACTCTTCAGCCTCCCATCGTAGAGCCTTTGGCTTTCTGTCGCAGACCCATCAGCATGCTGGTGTGGATTTGCACAAGACACTAGAGTGAACTTCAGACCTTGGATTGAATCCTTCAGCCTCCAGTGTGTAGACACCCTCTGCATGCTTCCCTATCCAACTCCATGACTGACCATCTTAAGCCAATCTTGTTGCTTCCTTTACATCTGTATATCTTGTGTTATATCTGTTCTCTCTAGTAAAACCTTGATTAATACAATGACTGTTTGAAGCTCTTAGAAAGCTTTACATGAATATACTAAAGAATTATTTATCTACTTTCACTTGTAGTAATGGCATTATTATGTTTTAAAAAGTCATTGTATTTTAGAGTTTCATAATAGAAAATTTGTAAATGATATCTGAAGTTATCTTCAAAATAACAGAGAATGGAGTTTAGCTCAGCAGCAAAAGTACCTGCCTGGCAAGTGCAAGATCATGAGTTAGATCCCTGGTACCAATAATATTAATAATAATAACCCAGTATGGGTATAAGATTAAGTGGAACTGTTTTCCAAAATTGTCCATGAGTTGATCATTTTTAAAGTTGAATTCTTGGTAATTCTATTACTACATATAATTAAAATGTTCTATAATATAAACCTTAAAATATACCAGAACAGCTAAAGCTAAAACAGGCAGAAAATTATTCTGCTTGAAATTATGCTAACTTTTAAGGTTTTTATTATTTTTAATCACACTTAGGAAAATCTAAATATCAAAATCTTGCTCTAAAGTATAAGAACCTCTTAAACCAATTTAAAAGATGGTGGATTGGTAGGTAGCACAGTAGAGAACCTCTATGAGAAAAACAACTCAGACTTAACACCATGGAGAAGAACAGACAAAAGAAGAGGGATTCTCATGGCCCAAGAAGAAACTGAGGAAAAAGAAAAAGAAAGAAACAGCAAATATGAACAGAAGGCTGGAGCTAGATGTGCTCTCACCAGAGCCAGTCCCACACTGAGCTGGGCACCTTGGAGCTGGACGTCACACTGTTGCACTAAACTCACCACAGCAATCCTCTAGCCAGCATGCTTCATAAAAACCATAAACAATACTGAAGGGCTGAGACCTCCATCATATACCGGTCTGAAAGAAAACAAAAACATGACAAGACAAACAAACAAGAAAAAGCCTCCAGCTGCCAACCCAAGGAATATAAGTGCAGGAGAGGTAAATACAGAACAGATTGAGGGCAGCAAACATGTAATATTGGACACAGCATCAGCTGACATAAAGAAATACCTTTGTAACCTCATAGATGAACTTAAAACTGAAATTTTAATTCAAGTGAAACAAGATATAAGAAGATTAGTAAAAGAAATGCTAAGCACCTCTCAAGAAGACACAGATGGAAGAATGCAAGAATCCAGAAAAAGGAGAGAAACCTTTGATTTAGAATATGAACAACATTTAGACTACATGAAAGAGATGCAAAGAGATTACCAGGAAATTAAAAACTCCATTGAAAGCTGGCAAAATGCCTTCACAGAAACTAAAGTTAGACTTTCAAAACTTGAAGATAGATTTTCAATGTGTGATCATGAAAGGAAAGATCTCTTAAAAATAACAAGGAACCAGGAAGCAACAATACAAAGGCTAGAATATGATAAAGAGGATCTATAACTTAAGAATAAAAAATATGAGTGAAGAAGCAGGAGTAAACACAAATGAAATACAAAGGCTATTCACAGAAATAATTAAGGAAAACTTCCTAAGCTTAGGAAAAGTAAATGATATTCAGATATATGAGGCATACAGAACTCCAACCAAAACAGATCTATACCCAGACATATAATAATCAAGATTGCAGAAATTCATCACAAGAACAGAATATTAAAAGCTATTAGAGAAAAGAAACAGATCATCTATTAAGGAAAATCCATCAAAATCACCACAGACTTCTTGACACAAGACATCAAATCAAGAAGAGCTTGGAGCAAAGTATTCCAAGCCCTGAAAGAAAGTAACTTCCAACCCAGATTGATGTACCCTGAAAAACTATCTCTCAAAATTAATGGAGAAACAAGATGCTTCTATGACAAAGAGGAACTGGAGGAGTTTGTGACCACCAGTCCAATCCTACAAAAAATATTGAAGGATATTCTAGAGAGAGGAAAAAAACACCAGGATTTCAGGAACAGTGGCAGAGAGGCCTCAAAGAATGGAGCAGACAGTGGAATGAAGGAGAAAAGTAGACAATCAGTGACAGAAAAATAGCATAGCAGAGATGAGGCAGAGAAGGTTGGCTATAATCTCTAACACAAATGGCCTTGATACACTAACAAAAAGAAACACAGGCAGAGTGGATCAGGAGATAGGGTCCATTGAAATGCTCTGTATAGGAAAAATAATCTACCTGAAAGGGGGTTAATGAACTGAAGGTCAGAGATGAGAAAAAAATACTCCATGTGACAGGGTACCAGGGAGAAATAGAGACAGCTCGTCCAGCAGCTGCAGATAGGTTGGAAAGTCATAACACTTTTGTGCAGTGGAGAACTACTCAGCTATAAGGAAATAAAA